GAGACCTAGAGAGGCCTAAGTGCTGTGGATGCAATCCACTCTCTTAGTTACCTTATTATATACAGAACCAATTAATATGGATAACATTAAGACAATTTAATAAATAATTGTCTGTTTTAAAAGATTTTAATAAGGTTTAAAATTATTTTATAGTTTTAATATTGTATGATGATAGACCTATTACAATATCCTACGAGCTCTAGGGTAGTGGCTTTAAAGGTTTCCTACAATAATTTCAAAAAAATGTTGATATTGAAATACAATTTTGAATAAAAAACTGCTTCTCTTCTTTCCTCTACACCTTCTGTTCTAACTTCTTCTCTCTACTTCCTGCTCTCCTGTCTGCTGCTACAATTCCTATTTCTCCTATTGCTCCTACTTTGCCTCCTCTAAATATTCCTTTTTTATAGCTACCTCGTTCTGTTTACCTTGCTGGTTTCCTATGTGCTCTCTTCTGTGACCTTTTGTTTCTGTACCTTCTTCTGTCATATAAATAAAACTTTCTTGATACCTTTTTTATTTTTTCATAATTTTATCCTATCTTAAAATACAATCCAATTATAAACTTAAAAACCCTTCTCTGACAATTCTCAAAATTGTTGACAATCTATCGTATTATAATGACAATCGTCCAAAAAAAATTTCAATCTGGTGACCATTGACGTCAAATACCCTAAGCTCCTAGGAAATTTTAATAGATCTATCTATGAAGATTAGATATCTTCATAGGTCTACCTAGTACAAATTGCGCCCAACGTGGGGCCATATTTTGGCAGCAGTGGGCGACAGCAGGGGCCCTATTCTCGAATGTCATACGCGACATTAATGAAATGTCGAATAAGAACGCTAAAGAATCAGTTAGCTCACTCGGACCAGTTGAAAGTTCCAAAATAACATCCACTCCAGGGATACAAATTCAGGATGCGCAGAAGACTGCTGTTTTATTATAGGCGGTTGTCATATATTGTATTATCCGAGTTGCGCAGTGTATAAACTGGAACATTGAGATCAAAAGTGCCGACACACAGTGAGCGAACTGATTCTTTAGCTATTAATTGTGGTAAAGGCATCAAAATGGCCGCGCCCTATGTTGGGCGTATCAGACCTCTCTCTTGCACCGTATAGTAATCAAAGTATGTGCAAAATTGAGAATATGGATAGTGTGTTTGAGTACAAAGGTTGTAAAGAAAAGTCTTTTCTATCTCACGGAGTCAATTTATTGGCGACCGGTTTCGAAGTAAATTTTTCATCATCAGGCACACCATTTATCGGTACTCAACAGCAAAGCAATGACATTGTCAATGTCACTGCAAGCTTATTATGATGTTGACGTATATTGTACTTATTTTCGAAGTTTTTCGTAGGATTAAAAGCAAATTTTTTAAATCTTTTTTTAATTCTCTGAAATAGGGACTAAAAGTAAGATCATAAACTATATTTCTTCCACATAATATATAATATAAAATTAAAGTTAGATATTACTTTATTGTTAAATTTATTCTTTAGTTTTAACTTTTATTGTTACTTCCAGAAATTATTGTATTATTTATCCAGTAAATTTATTATTCAATACATTCAATCGATAAAATTTGTAAAGAAATATTTTTTATTTCGCCTCTACTATATCAGTATCATGCTGCACCGGCCACATCAATTCTTTTTAGTACAAGGTGATACCGTGCCAACATTTAAGGTAAATGTTTGCTAAGACAAACCGACCTAGATTAATGGCCTAAGTGTTTGTTTTTAAATTATTAATCATCATCCATCATACCGATACACAAGTACATGATATAAAAATTTTTAAACTAACAAGAGATACTTTGAATAATTAGTTAATTTTTCGCTATTAACATTATATATTAGTATATGATTATTAGCTTTAAGGAAACCGAAATATTTGTAATAAGAATTATTACGGAAGCCTAGAATGACTATATTTTTTTATTTTTTGAGTCTTAGAACTCGGAAAATTGATATTTCCAACTTAAAACAGAAAAAAAAATATGTTATATAATTCTGTGGATGGCGTTTAAAAGGGCCTGAGCAGAAATTTTTACATCTTTATAGACGATCCAAATTAGTGAGTAATTTTAAAATAATTAAAATAATTTTAGCAGAGAATTGTATTTTTGTAGTACGTTTTGATAAATTTTTATAAAAAATCATTTTTTTACAATTTATCAAATTTCTCGAATACGGACCATTTTAGGAAAATTTTGTATAGAACAAAAAATATTGATAATAATATTGTAAGAAATTTGTATTTGAAGAGTTTTCTTCTCCGAACGTAAATAACAGATATATTCCATTAAATATAAAAATCTGATGTGTCCCAACACATGACTTTCCTATCTAGTTATTACAGGCTTTTTCCGGTTATTTTGTACAACCTATTGCAGCACCTCTTTAAATGTTTAGAGGAGGATAAACTAAATATATACATTTTCCACATACATCTACCTCTAAACATTTTTCTATAGATATTCATTGAAAACGAAAATACTGAAAAATTTAAACTTAGCACTTTTCCTACAATTTTTCCATTACGGTCCATTTTAGAAAAATCATGTATAAACAAAAATTATAGAAATCGATATCGCAGACAACTTTTATTTTAACAATTTTCATAAAAATCAGAATTTTGCACATTTTGTCAAATTTCTCGAATACAGACCATTTCAGGAAATTTTTACATAAAGCAAAAATTATAGATAATAATATTAGAAGTAACTTTTATTTGAACAATTTTTTTCTCCAAACCTAAATAACAGATATATTCCATAAAATATAAAAACGGCCTCCCTTAAAGTACTCCCCCAGATGCTCCGACTTTGTCCAAAGTCTAATCATTTCACGTCAGGCCGAAATAAAACTTAGGTTTAAAATTTAATATTTTTTTTTATCTGTTTTTGAGTTTTCTTCAAATTTCGAAATTTACACATTTTCTCAAATATCTCAAATACGGTCCATTTTAGAGAATATTTTTTTACATGTATATGGATAAAAATTAAAACAAAAAATTATAGAGTAATTATATTCCAAACATCAAAACAACTTTTAAAGTACCCCCCCAAATATTCCACCTTTCCAAAACAATTTTTATAAAACATAAAAAATAATTTTTTTACATTTTCGAAATTTACACATTTTCAAATTTCTAGAGAATATGGGGATCAATTTTACGGACCATTTTAGTAAAATTTTATATAAAACAAAAATTATAGATAATAATATTATAAGTAACTTTTATTTGAAGAATTTTCTTCTCCAAACGTAAATAACGGATATATTTCATAAAATATAAAAATGACCACCAATAAAGTACCCCCCAAATGTTCCGACTCTGCCCAAAATCTAATCAGTTCACCGCAGGCTGGAATAAAGCTTAAGTTTAAATTTTGGTGTTTTTCTTGGTATCGGTTCATGAGTTATGGTGGATACAGACACACGCACAGACACACAGACATCATCAGACATCAACTCTTATAAAGTTGGCTACAAGTCACAAATATTGATTTTTGGTCAGGATTTACACTACACTGTGCGCTGCCCGGTTTCGAAGTCTGATCGGGGGTCCGGTCGCCGTTTAAATTCAAATTCTTTGTGAGATATAAAAAATGACATGTTTTCTTTCTTTCTCCACCTATAATTCATAAACTTACACATAGGGACGGAGTTTTAAAAAATTCCTACTTAGTACACCCCTAGGCTACTCAAAGAATATTTCCTCCAAATTTTAAGCCCATTGATTTAGGATGTACATTTTTTATCAGTCACGGTAATTATGACAATAATTGAATTTATTCTATTTGACTAGTCTACACTGTATAATAATAATAATGCTCCATCTTAAAGACCATCGGAGCTTATGGCGTAATTTTAAGCCTGAATTACCAATTACGTCAAATCCTAAAACAAAAAACGACAAGTAGGTTCGAAGATATCTACTTCGTCGAACCCACCTACTTACATTAATAAATTACATTGCTCCATCTTGAACGAAAGAACGACTAGCAATTTTCAAATTACCTCCGCTGCTGAACAGCAAAAAAACTCTTATACAAAAAACCGAAATCCTGTACCTACATAACTACCTGTATTGTGTCGGCCGTACAGAGCTCTGTAATATTATCCAACTGATACCTTCGGGATTATTACAATAATCTCGAAACGCGAGATAGAAACTATTGGTACTTATTGCGTACCGATTTTTGCAAGGCTAAACGGGCGGGGTAAGTGTGGTGGTACGTTGCATCGTTACGAATTAATTACACCAAAACTGCGCGGTAATTACCCCTTCGGAGGGGTTATTACTGCGGTACCCACCCCAGTCGTAAATCAACTGGACTGAATTACTTGTTTCGTTATTCGTTAAAGTATAGGCATCACTTGCATTTTTGCGCTTTATTCAATGAGGGATGGTGTAATTCTAGCGTTGGTAGAATAGCAAGGGTACTCTAATTAACAGTATATTACCTAATAACCCTAAAGCATCTTTACAGATAAAACGTTTTGGAAATTCTTAATCCTGCTCGTGTTTACCTAAAAACATTTAATAAAGGATCAACGGGTTGAAGATGTGTACACACTAATAGATAAGGAAAGTACTAAGAGGTAATTGAAGCGCTCGGGGCAACAAGGTGCATAAGCCACATTGGAACATTATTGAGAAAAACGACTTGAAAAAATCCAGTCAAATCTGTAAATCGGGTTTGTTTTGCAAAATTGTGAGTTTTGGGTCATAGGGTTTCAGTGAGTTGAGTTATTCCCCGTAAATAAAACAGAATACCAAAAAGTTTATTTTTTTCGAATTTATTGGATTTTTTGGCCAAAGGGTGGCATGTGCCTTTCTTATATTAAAATAAAACAACATTTTCTAAATTTCACTAACTTAAAAAAATTAAATAAGTAGCTCTTAGCTCAACATAAATCTTATAAATTCTTTGGTAACAATAAAAAAATACTAGTACAGGTAAAAAATATTAAGCAGCTTTCCGCTAGTCTTCTTCTCCATCCACATCTTCCGCAATATTTTGATCTTCAGTTTCGTCAATGTGCTCTCCAGCACACTGCTCGAAAATAGTAACATAAAAGTTTTGATTGATAGGTGGTATGTATCGCAAAAGTTTTTGTAAGTCTTCAACTTTCTTGCTGTTCAGTTTTACAGGTTTATTGTATTTGCAGTCTAAGTTGTCAAGAATATCGCCTGACTGAAGAACTAACCTATTTCCACGCTTTCCAATATAAACTTTTTTAAAAGTTTCATTTAGTTCACGTTTTATCACCATCGTATTGGGTTCACCCGATTCAAATCGGAAGCAGCGTGCTTTTGTGAAATTTACAGGCTCTTTATCTTCAGTTATGGTTTTTTTCACCATAGGAACTTTTTGAAACGATAGGAAATCTTTTTGTTCCATAACAATAACTTCGATTGGATTGGCCCTTTTACTTTTTCTAACGGCTTCGTACCAGTCCTCTGGGCAATAAATTTGTCTCAAATACCTCTTGTGTTTTTCAATTTGGGCTAAATCCCTATCGCAAGGCAAATAGGATGCCCTGATACCAAAAACCTATGTTCAATAATTTTGAATTTTTTTGGTTATACAGTCCTCCACAGTTATCAGTGAAAACAACAAGTTCCCATTGTTCATTTGTTTCTCTAGATGAGAGGTACTTCAATAAAATACTTGCTATTTCCTCACGTCCTCTCTTGGCTGTAGCATCTGTCCACATAAACATGCTTGCTTGTCCAGATATGCAATCGTGAATACCAAGGTTGTAAGTCCAAGCTTTACGCAAGTAGAATGCCGGACCAACTATAAGACTAGGTGTTGAAAGAGTTTCCTGCAAGTCAAATGCAATAACTAATACTTTTCTATTGGTTTGTTTAACTGACTTTAATTCCTCTTTCATATTATTTGATGTAACTCAAGCTCAAGTTTCAGTCTTTTAATGTCTTCTTCATTCTTGTTCACAGTTGCGGTTTAAATAGCAATTTTTCATTGAATCACATGTTAGACACGTATCGCTTTTCGGCAATTTGAAGCCTATGTTATATTCATTGCAAAATATTCTTCGATACTTGTCTTCTTTGACTGGGGTAATATTTTTTTCCCTACACCAATCAATATAAAAATCCTTGTAAAGTCCAGAGATACTTATGTCATGGTCGAGGTAAACTCTGCTTGGATTTTTCTTTCTGCTTTAATGGCTGACATATTTTGGGAACGCGTGTATTTGGTCATGAACAGACTGTACTTGTTCAAATGGTGTTCTATTTGGCTGATTGCGGTATTTTCCTCTCTTGTCATCTTGTAGAACACTTCCCCGTCTGAGATCTGATTGCAAATAAGCCTAACTCGCTTAGAAGACTTTTGCAGACCATGAGTGGCTAAAAATTCTTGCTTGCACAGCTGTATGTCAATTCCATTTACTTTGGCAAAATATTGATAAGTGACTTTTCAAGACGATTCTCTTAAAAAATTTGTTATCAATAATTTATCTTAATAATTAAAATTAAATGCTATAATAGCTAAATAAAACAACAATCGCAATATTATTTATTGGGACATCCATATCAATTTGGTACCACTGACGTGGGAGTGCCTTGAAACCGTCATTTTACCGACTTAGTAGAATTTAATGGTTCGCTAACGTTTTGAATGTAGGTGAGGTACAAAATAATAATAATAACAATAATAACAGTCGAGAACTTAATAATTGTTTTTGCAAGAACACTGCATGGCGGTTCAAACCGCCAATCGAAATGGACAAACCGTTTAACAGTAGTAATTCGCCATTTAACTTTAAATACCTGTAACCATAAAAAATATTAATTTATGAAGTGCGAAAATATATGATCCCCGATTCCCCATACGAAATGATGAAAAATGGACCCCTATACCGCTAAAGCGTAAACAAACCAAAGAAAAATTTAAAAAGCTGACCAATAAAGAAAAGAAATGAGTGCATCGACCAGGAATCAAATAGGAATCTTCCGACTAGAACCTTCGGCTTCTCTACCAGTTGGGCCACCGAGGCACATAGCTATCACAGTCGAACTCGTAGATTTGAAATCAATCAGATTTAGACTCTCGTCGGCACACACATTTTCCTTCCTTCCCAACTTTCTCAGTTCTTCTTAAAGACCCTTTTGACGTCATATAGAAGGAGCAATCTCTGAATGTACTAGAATAAATTTATCTGAAATTTTTCTAAAATAATTTTTCTACATCAGCACTATTTATATTTCAAACAATTGATCTTTACACAACCAACTATTTCTATCAACCAACTGCTTCAACAACAAACAGCCTATTTATATACATAAGTGAGTGCTAATGTGTTCGATTGTATATTCTGGTGGATTTTCGAAAATTCTTGTAGTACATTCACAATTTTTAAATAGTGTCTTGACATGGTTCTAGTATATTCCTAATGATCGACAGTGGCCAGAATCGTCCCATTAGGGTCAGTTTTTGGAGGTTATGTCAAGCACCCTGCGTATACTGACGTGGAAACAAATCTCTTTGAGGACACTACTGACAAGGACAATCTTCTTTGGATCGGATCAATATTATGGATTAATTATAGAAATATAAATGTTTGTTTATGTTATGTTGTTATCCTTGGAATGGCAAGCTCAAAGAGCTTGCCAGAGGAGAAGAAAAACATAAACATACAAATATAACAAATAATCTTTGAGAAGTATCCTGTGGAAAGTAACAGATAACCGGTACAATCGCAAACAAAGAACGAATATTGAACTGTTCAGGTATTTCAGGAGGTAGTAAAATTGATGAAACAAAAGCCAGGCAGACAAGAAAGAAGAACGAGATTTTATAAATTTTATATCTATAATCTAAAGGGAAACTGATTCCTAGTGAAGAGCGTCTGATTTGACAGCGATGCAACACCACAAAAGAAATCAAAATTACTAAGGACTAATGACTATTTTAAAGATTATAAAGAATACTTATGTAATACAGAATTGTTTCAGAGACATCTTTACAGACATTGGTGTACATATAAAAACTCCAATATACAATATGGTAATACAAGAAAGGTATTATTTGTTTGATGTAATAAATACGTGACATATGTTTTTAATTTCTTAATTTAGCGACGATGTAAATCTTACTGTCAATATATCTTGTTAACTATTTTGTTTTAATGGGTAGAGAAAAACATTTGAACACGTCCATTTTAAACTCATCGGACTATTAAAGTTTCAGTATTCCTATAAACCCCCTTCAATTTAATAAACAAAGGGAGTCAAGTTACACCTCATTTGAAACGTTAGGAAAAGCACTTCAACAATGTATCTTGCCTTTGTTTACATTAAAAACGATATAAAGTTCTTCGAACTTCAAAAATGAAATGATAAATGAGATTATGTTGTATAAGATCCGATTTTCCAAAATTACAGTTTTTTCGAAATGCTTTTTAGTCGACTATATCATATCCAGTGAATATTACAAATCAATGCTCTCAGAACACATACAAAATGGAAAAGCCTGTTTGAAAAATAATCAAAAATATTAGGAGATCTGTAAACTCTATACCTGAAATCAGAAAAAAGAAGTGGGTCACAGATAATACAAGTTTGGACTGTGGTCTTTTAATCACCTAGAGGATTTAGAGCATTTTGTCTAGTTTCGTCTTCTCTAGTAGATTCAATAAACACTAGAAAGTAGTTCTCCTGTGTAGCTGGCACCGTCGTCTGATCAAAATGGAAGAGCAATGGAAGCAATTGACTCTTCCTTGAACCTTGTAACTCAATGTTACGAACTCAGCAAATTTTCCCTTCCCTTTGGAAAACTTCTGGTTCCGCTCCTGCTAGCTGATTGCTCTTGGTTTTCGTCTCTAAAGTATAAGTAATATCAGTCTTGATGGACCTAATATAAGATTTTCTTGACATCCTCTGTATGTGCATATTCTGATAACTATATTTCTGACATCACAGAAGTATCAAATTGAAACTTGGAATAACAATAGTGCCACTGCAATGTTAAATGTCAACAATTCATTATTGCTTCACTCTACCCCAGTATCGAAATGATTTATTTCCATATACGAATATTAATCCGGTTCAATCACATATTTAAATTCACTAAAATCATTATTAAATATCTCTATGCATTCTTTGTTAATTAATAATTATTTCTGTAATGATTTATGGACTCAATATCTTTTGATTATGCCTGGGAAAGTCTGCATTTCTTGGTAAAAACGGAAGGAAAGTGCACAAAGCAGTTATTAATTAATTAATAACAGAAAGAAAGTTTTCTAATTTTTTAAATAACTGGAAGTTTTACTTATTAGTTATCTTAGAAAAAAATGGTTTTCATTTAATTGATAAGTAACAGCAGACTCAATTATTTTATTTTTACTTCAGAAAACGTATCTAGTTAATATGTATTTAAAATATGTTTTTAATAAACATTATTTAACAAACAGAAAAATAATTCCAAACTCAAATATGACCAAAAAAAAAACAGTTCTTAATCGAAACTTTTGTCAGAGTTGACAGCATGATTACACCCATCGGACGATACTCATCCCTCGAACCAGGGTTGCCAATCGTACGATAATTACCGTACTTTTACGGTATTTTCGATTAATGTACGGTATACGGTCCAAAGTCATTAGAGATATCGGGCAGGCACCAATACTGTGATACGCTCATTGCGTATTGCTCATTGCTGAAAATTATTGCAGTTGAGAGTTATTACAGTTAACAATTATTACAGTTGGCAATTATTTTATTTAACAAGTATTACAGTAGTTGACAATAATTATTACAGTGGATAGTTATTTATACTGCGTACTTATTAACAAAGCTGGCAAGTACTTACAGTTGATATTAATGACAATTAACATTTATAGCATGTGATAGAAAATACACTGATATTTTAGGTTTTAATTGGATTTTGATATTGTAAATTGGCTAGTTTTAAAAAAGTCCGCATTTCTTAACAAAGTAATTACATAATAAATTTGATAGTAAACAGATATTTTTCCTGATATTAAAGAATATTTCCAGTATAATATATATGATGTAAATAATTATTAGTTACAATTGGAAATGGAATTCCCAGTCACAACCAGCTTGATTATTTGCACGTAAAAACATCGAATTATTGCTTCATCCACCGTGTAACTCCGATTTGGTACTCAATGATTACTCTACGTTTTCTTAAAATATAAGTAATTGAGGGGATGCTAAATTGGTCGTTCCTTGTCAGGTTGAGGCCCCCCACGGGCAAACTCATATTAAAGATATCAGAGATGAGGTAAGAAATTAATTGATTTGGATCGAAAATTTGTTGTAATTTTTCCGCATTGGATCTAATCCATTTTTATTTTAAAAACAAAAAAGAAATAATTTTTCTTGCAAGATATCAAAAACGAACTTTCTCATAAACACCATTATTGAGGAAAAGGTTATTGTTTCCCTTCTAGTTTTAAACATAAACGGTTTGCTTAAAATATGTTTCTTGCAGAGCAGAAAATTATGGCAAATGATTTCTATACATAAAACTATGCAGAAACCAGAAGAAATAAAATAATGAAAACAATAAACAAATGCCACCGAGGCGATCATTGTTAACACAAATACACAAGTAAGATTCATACGGAACCTTGCCAAGCACAGTTAATTCTTAGGCTGAGTCAAACGGACAAAAAATCGACTTCCTCAGAGTATCTCTATTTTATTTGTTAGTACCTTTGATTGAAAATGTTCATATATGTAGTTCAGTTTCTTTTTATAGCCAGGGTGGCTATGAAACTCAAAAATCGCTCACTTTATATAGTAAGAGTGTTTACTGTCAAAGTTCTTCTGGTTCGCAGTTTACTAAAAATGTATCTCTTTCCGTTTTTCCTCGGATATGTAAAACCTTTTCATTGCT